TACAAGTTGTGTGTGCGCAAGCGTTCAGCCGGAGCGCTTTTTTTCATCAAAATGTCACAGCACCGCACCGCACCGCACCGCACCGCACCGTCGAGAAAAACCGCACCGTGAACATCTCTGTAAATTTGCTTTGGGGGGGGGAGACTTCAACTCTCGTGCGCCAGTGACAATGTTTCACGGCAATAATAGCAAAGGAAGCAAAGAAAGGTTGAGAGAGTGAGGCGCTCTCTTAAACCTACAGCAGTACCACTTTGTGCGTGCGTTCTCCCATATGGCATCGCACTAGAGGATACAGGCTCTCTCATTTTGTAGGGATACCGGGTGGACGCAAACAAACCTGGATCCCCCGCGGGGCCCCTTTGCTATGCGTTTTATAGGTAAGAACCATGGAACAAGACATCACATGAGACCAGAACTACCGGAACACTGGAGTACTCCACCTCCCAAAATGCCTCCAACAAATATGCCCTACAGCAGTGAGCAGTTGCGAAGGTGTTTTCGGTGCACGAGCAGGTGAACATTTGGTATTATCCCTTACTGTACATAGATAAATTTACCGCGTTTTCACGGCACGCTCGCCTTCTAATCGAGCCGCATACACATCACAAAAAAAAACTTTTGTTTGCATAGTCTCTCTTGATACGGAAGAACCGGAAGGCGTCAACTCTCGTTCGGCTTTTCTTTTTCTCCAATAGTTATTGTTCCGTTTTTGCTCACAAGTAAACACGGCGGTTGCTGTGAAAACAAGGAGTGCCGGCTCCTCCCTCAGCCCAAATGCAGACAAGACACATGCCACGAAAACACCGAACCCCAAAAGAAACGTGCCGAAGACCCCAACATCCGATTCTCAACACACACTCTAGCCAACCTTTTGAACGGCGCCGACAAAGGCCTGCAAACACACACCAGCTTCGCCCCATGGAATATGATCCAAACAAAGCCTCAGAGGTCAAGGTACGGTCTCGCTGCCATGCCATACTGCTGCTGTAGACACGCGTTCGTGCTATGCCTACGGATGACCTGACGCACACCAAAAAAGAGGAGGTGCTATCAAACAAGAAGCGAATCGGTTCAGGTGCGGCGAGGGCGAGGGCGAGGGCGAGGGCACCTCTACAACTGCAGCATAGCCCGAGAGAAGACCGCGCCACCTCCCCAACACAAAAAAATCAAGAACGGGGCGACCGACCGCCATGGCAGCAGCAATTTCCCTCCGATTAAAATTTCATCTGCTGCCGAGGACTCTTTCCCTCCCCCCGGAGAAACCAGCACAAGAGCACATACGCCAGCCTAGGCTAGGCAAGCCAGCACCGATGTTTACTTGCGGTCGTCCACTTGTCCGAGTTTTCGGCGGTCGGAGTCGTGCGGCGACTTAGTTCTGTCCTTGGTCGTTGACGTCATCGTCATCGTCCGTCTCGTCTTCGTCATCGCTCTCGAACGTGTTGGCGGGCACGCTGTAGACACGCACCACCTGCTTGTTGGGGTCCTGCGCAGCCATCCATTCACACGCGTGCATGCATGCGGACGCGCCAAGCGGCGGCAAGAGGGAGGAAAGGACCCGAGGTTGAAGAACCAGAGAAACATCGCATCGAAGCAGAACTACTGTAACTCCTGCAGTCGCCCTGTACGGAAGCTTGACTAAAGAACGGGCCCCAGCAAAGAAACGATAAAAAATCGGGTCCAGGCTCAGCTTCATACCAGGTACTTCATCGTCGCTGCTGTCGAGCACAGGTTGATATACAAAGTTCAGCGCAAGAAACACCCTACAATATTTCCTTGGTTTTCGTGCAGATTTTGAGTCTTTGTTTCTCAAACAAAAATTTCTTGACTGCGGGTCCGTACTGTATTGTATGGCAAAGCACGCAAGGATCATGATCATGCTCGCTGTCGACGACGGAAACGGAAACATGCGCGTTGTCCCGCAGCCACCTCTTGTCTTCCAAAACGAAACGAAACGACACGTGCGATGTACTACGGTAGACACACGCGCGTCTTGCAAGCGCAACAGATGTTACAATTGTGGTAGTAATCAGTACCACGGTTACTGCCTTGAGTGACCTCCCAGCAGTAGAGGCCATCACTACGGTTGAGAATGCCGGGTTACCGTAAATCCTTGACTGACCTTCATGACGACGTACTTCCCGTCCTCGTGCTTCATCAGCAGCTCCACGATCATGTGGATGATGCCCCACATGTTGTTCGCGCTCAGCGTGATCTGAAAGGGTACATGCAGCGCGGCGGTGTGAATCGTCAACTATATACCAAACACTTTCGTGTCGCGAGACCAAGCAGGCAGGCCACACAAAACAAACTCGAAACGCAACGTGCGCCCGTCTCATGGGGGCGCGCCGCCGTGTGTGTCAGATCCCGGGCGTGAAGCCGATTGGCTACCTCCCCTCCAACAACACGCGGGGGATCCGACCCCAGAGCCAAACGGCTCGTACTACTCTGTCTTCCAGCACGAAGGCTGCCACAATTTGGCGGCATCGACACTACTATACAACTACTCCCCCCCAACCACAATCAGGGCATGTCCTACCACCACGGCGGTACAGCAGCATGAACCAGTGGCGTGCCCTTCTGCTAAACAACAGTCAACACAAACGCACACACAACAGCACACCTGGGTGGCGAACTCCCTGGGCTTGTAGCTCTGGGTGCCGAGGACGACGTGCTCGTAGGCGTTAGCCTTCGTGACCCGAGACACCAGGCTGTTCAGTTCAGATTCGGGATACCGGGGCGCACGAAACACACGACGGCAACGTCAACGACTGTTCAGGCGTGGCACACCGGGACGAGCAAAACACACCAACCTTGCGGTAACGACAGCGCCGTTCGGCGCAGAGCAAGGGGCACGATCAGCTCAAGACTAGCCAACAGAGGGCACAGGGTATATATATCTTGAGGGGTTCGAACATGGATACAAACCGGAAAGCAAGCAAGCGTCAATCAACCCGATTGGCCGGTGTGTGGTACGCAGTGGCTGACACGAGGCTTAGGCTTTGGGCTACTGCTGCTGCTGCGACAAGGAGAGAAGAAAAGCGGTGCAGCATGGACGCACGCCATTGGGTATCAAGGAAGTACGCACCGCCTTGGCGACTGATTTCAACGGCAGGAGGGGGGGGCAGTCAAACCTCGCCAGGTATGGTGCTGAGTGGTTTGATTCTCCGCCAGACTGAAATTTTTTGCACTCATCATTTTTCCAGGAGCCGATGCGATGATATTTCAAGGGTGCTCCAGACTTCGCTACTGGTATGTTGTCAGAGTGAAACACCAACAGCTCCAGAGAGCCTACTGTGACCGGGGTAGAGCGCCAACCGCTTCTTTCCGACGTCCGTAAGAGAGGACACCTTGTCATGCTACTCACCCGATCTTCATCTGGTCTGCGCCAGACAGGATCGACTGCGCCGTCCACTTGGCCAGCTTGGCGGAGTTGTTCTTCAGCTCCGTCGCAAGGATAGCTCCCCTCTGCAGACCGCAGCATGCCGTCAACCACGCCACAAGAGAGCGGATTAGAGTTAAATGAACAGCAGCACTAGTGCAAAACTTCATGTATCGAAGGACTACTCCCCCTTCCGAGCCGCGGTACCCATTCAGGATAAACCAGGGATATTCCACCAACACGCCGGCTGCCTACGCCACAAACGGATTCGGTTGTCGTATCCTTTGCAGCACAGCAGCACGTCCGGGAAACCATGTTAAGCACTGTAGCCGAACGGAACGGACAACAAGAGATCTAGAGCGCCCACAAACAGCAATGAAAAAACACCATAAACTACGCTTGCACTTAATGACCAACACCAACAACAAATCATTAACCATGCTTTCACTTCAAGACTAACAGCAACAAGCACACAATCCAAGTGCGTGGGGCTGGCAGCCAAGAGCCAGATAAAAAGTCTGTCCTAAGCTGCGACCGCCGCGCAATCGCCGACTCCAGCACTGCGTGAGTCCGTTTTTGGAGGCTACTGTATGCATACAGTACGACTTGTTTCATCGCTATCATCCTACCTGTGTGTCGATCTTCTGGCGCCATTCCACTCCGCCCGCCAGCTTGGAATCCCACTCGTTCAAGGCGAAGGCCGACATGTACTGCTTCTCCCCGGCCTTCATGCCGGGCTTGACCGCCGTACCATGTACCTCGCACCGCGCCACTACCGTGTAGTTAGCCCTGGTTTAGTCCCGAAACGGAGCATGTTCAGAATATGTATAGGTACATAGATAGAAGCAGCGGCGGCAGCAGCAGCAATGGAAGCGCAAGTAGAAGAGATGGGCAATAGTACGACACATGGGGGGGGACAACATCGTACACAACTCTATCGTGGGAGTACAAGCGGCAGCAGCAGCGGAAATAGCAGAAAGACAAGTAGAACAGACGGACCACGACACAGGTACAATTTTACAAGGATAAGACATCACACCCTTTCGTGACGGATAGTAGCACCAGCACCAGCACCAGCACCAGCAGAAGAACAACTTTTTACATGTAGAGCAGAGCAGACACACTGCGGCACACGGATACGAACAAACACCATGTGTTTGCTGTATCGTGACGGGGGCGAATACACCGCACCAATTCACGGGCATGGCATTATACCCACCTGCGTGCGTGAATTTGACACACAGAAGATGCACTTCACCGCAAGGTCTGTAGACTGGCGGCGCCACAACAGACGGCACCAAAGACAGTGTGCACACAAACACTTAAAAAGCAGTAGCAGCAGCAGCGAAGCACCAACAAGCGCATGTCCTCTTCATTCCGCTCCCCTTTTTTCACTCACCCCAACTGGAACTTGCGGTAGCGGTACCCGATGGCCGCCGGGGTCATTCCCGGGGCAGCCTCGTCCTTGTCGAAGAAAGGGTTGGGCATCTCCAGGTTCTGGCGGATAAGACGTGAGAGAGGCAAACGTTTTCCAGCACACGGGCACCCACCCGCCAGCGGCGAAAGGCAATGCGCGTTGAGGTCAGCGTTGAGAGAGGTTTGAAGCAAACCTGGCGTGTCTGTGGCTCTGCAGATCACGACAAACTCGAGAGGATCGACCGCACCATACCAGCGCCAGCGCGTGGGCCCGCGAATGCCCAGACACTGCGGGAAGATATCGGCGTGTGGTCAAGTATGCCAGCCGCTCGATGAGAACACGCACGCTGCAGACGACCTAGCGACAAACCGCACGTCATGCCCGACTGTTCTGCTCATCCCCAGATACACGAGACCACAGAACATGCAGCAGTGCAAGCCCCAGAAAAGCCGAGGTGTTTCCACCGTGGACGACAGGCGCGAAATGAAGACATGTTAAGTCTACATGATGTCTGCATTGTCGGGTATCGGCCGAATCCGCGTAAGCCCTGAACCCCTCCTCCCTCCTCGAATGCCATGTAACTGTAGCCAGGTTTTCGACCACCCTCTGGGTTCCTCTTGAGACTGCCCGACATATGTTGCAACGGCATCCCTCCCTTTTCCTTCGAAGACTAGGCGACATGTCCGTTCGCGGCATTCTTCCCTTCCTTCATCCTGAGACTACTCAACACAACCCGTAAGGGCATCCCTCCCTTCTCCCTCTCCCTCCAAGACTAGGCGGCATATCCGTTCACGGCATCCTTTCCTTCTCCATCCTAAGACCATTCAATACCATCCTTAACGGTATCCCTCTCTTCTCCCTCTTAAGACCACCCGGCATCACCCTTAACGGCACCCCCCCCCCCCCGTAAGAAACTCCCAAATGTTGGTGGTGTCTCTAGTAAGGGTAAGAACGGTGCTCCGTCTCCAAAGGGACGCGTGGTCCATGGTCAAATGACTACGGCAAGCAACAAATGAGTACGCCCCCCCCCCCCCCCTAACTTTCGGTTTCCGGGCTTGAAGATTTGCTGGGAAAAATTTTGGTTTATCATGGTGGCCTTCATGTTGAGGAGGTTCTGGCCGTTTAT